AAGGGTCTTTGCAGATGTAATTAAGAATCTTGAGATGGGAAAATTATGCTGAATTATACATACAAATGGACCCAAAATATCACCACAAGTATCCTCCGTAAGAGAGACAGAAGATTTCACACATACAATAGGAGAAAGCATTGTAACAATATTGGAGTAATACGGACACAGCCAAAGAATGCCAGCTGGAAGAGGCAAGGAATGGATTCTCCCCTAGAGTATCCAGGGTAGCATGGCCCTGCTTCCCTGACTTAGGTCCAGGGATAGTGATACCCCTGGATAGAGTATCCAGGGTAGCATGGTCAGCATCCCTGACTTAGGTCCAGGGATAGTGATTTCTAATTTACCTCAAGAACAGAGAGAGAATAAACTTTTGTTGTTTTAATCCACCAAGAGTGTGGTAATTTGTTATAGTAGCCACAGGAAACTAATACAGGGTTTTAGGATTGATGAAATGTTTGGGAATTAAGATAGTAGTAAAGACTGCACAATTTGTGAATATACTAAAAATCGTTCAATTTTGCATTCTACAGAGTGAATGTATAATATGTGAATTATATCTCAATTAAAGAAAACAATGCCTAGCAATAGGCTGGTGTAACCCCCACATCCCAACAACTGATACTAAATTTTCAAAGTCCCTAAACAGACTCCATTCATGTAACAAAAATTAATTAGGATTATGGTAACAATGCAAACTAATCTAGCCAACAGAGTTAAACTTATATCATATGGTCAATCTACAAATTCGTAGTGGGAGGCATACATCCCCAGGGATAGATAGATATCATCTGGTAGAGTGGACACTACTCTGATACCAAGGACTTGAAACACCAACTTCATTAACATTAGGATTGCTAAATATCTTGATTTGACCAGGACAATCCAGTTTGACCTGCTGTCCCTAATATATTTTTTAATAGTGCCATTTTTCAGTCTTAAAAATATCTTGATTTCAGGCTGCCTGAGTGGCTCAATCATTTAAGTATCTGACTGTGGATTTCAGCTTAGGTCATAATCTCAGGGTCATGAGATCAAGACCTGTGTTGGGCTCTGTGCTTGGTGGGGAGTCTGCTTATTTTCTCTCTCTCCTTCACCTCCCTCCAAAAAACAAAACAAAACAAAAAACAAACAAACAAAAAACTGATTTCGGTGATAAATTAGTCTACCTAATTATAAGGAAACTGGAAGTTAGGAAAGTGGTGAGAGCATATTCTATACAGGCCAGATGGGCCCTGTCATGCATCTCTATATAATATATATCTCCTTGCTATTGGAAAGCTCCCAAGGAAAAAATTCCTGATAGGACTCCCACAGAACATCCATATTTTGTTTTAAAATGTATACAATACTAATGATTAAGCAGAACTCTCGGAACTCTATTATTTGGTGTTACTCAAATGACTAATTTATACATTTAAAGGAACGTATAAGTAATACTTGATACATTTAAAGGAAAGTATAAGTAATACTTGTAGTTGACAAGTATAAGAAACTTATAAAGGATGGCTTAAAATAACTTGTATCCAAGTTTTTTTTAACTGTTATGAAACCAAAAGATGAAAGTCACTATTATTTTTTTCATATCAAATTGACCCTAACATAATAATGCTATGTTAGAATTCCTGGGTGCAAAAAAGGAGGAGGGGGGAATTTTTTTCTTTCTTTCTTTCTCATTTTTTAAAAGAAATTATTACTCCATTGAAAGATCATAAATTCTATGGGTGGTCATACATATAAGGTTGGCAATGTTCTGATGTTCACTATTTTGGATGAAGTACAACTATAAAACAAATTAAATCAGTAGAATTAGAACATATCCCTATCCACCAAAGGCTGAGAAACAAAGAAATGACACAGGAGCAGAATGATAAAGAACTGCATAGTTCTGACAGTCTCCTAATCCTAACCCCTAACAGAGAAAAGAGGAGGGAAGAGCATCAAGATGGTGTTTGTGAGGAATCTGAGTATCAGGAAGTATCTAGTGAGCCTACCAAGTGCCAGGTACTTGTCTACGTACTGGTGATATAGTAGTGATTGAAATAAAGACTCTTTCTTCAGGGACTTGACACTGCAATAGAGATAACTAGAAAATACATTTTAAAAAATAGACACATATGAAGTTGCTGTATGCAATGTTATAATAGCACGTTACATATTTCAATTCCTAATGTAATGTAAAACATAAAAAATATATTATTATATATGTGTATACATATACATAAAATTTCAAATGGTTATAAATGCTACAGAGAAAATAAAGGAGGAAATGAGCCAGGTAGCATGGAGGCAGGTTGATATTTGTATGGCATGGTTATGGGGATCTAGGGAAGAATTTGCCAGCAGAAGGAAGGGTAAACACAAAGGCTCTGAGAGGAGCCAAATTTAAGGACTGCTCAAGAGGCTAACATAGGCAAGCCAATGGAAAGGGAGAGAAACTGGAGATGAGATCAAAGAATGAGTTCATTGTAGTATGTTAATGTAGGCCATTCTAAGTTCTTTGGTTTTTACTCTGAGTGTAATGGGTCACTGGGAAGTTATGAGCGAGGAGTGATTCAATCTTTCATTTCAGAAGGATCACTCTGGCTTGGTACATGAAGAAATTAGACTTTAGAGGGTAATACCTGGGAGCAGGAAGGCAAGTTAAGAGAGCACTGAAATAATACAGACAGGAGATGATAGTAGTACAAGACAGGGATACTGAGAAGGGGTCAAATTCCTGATCAAACCTTTAAGGTTAAATGTTCACAAGATTTGTTGATAGATTGGATCTGGGATGTGAAGAGGATGACACCTACAAGAGGTAATGCTGAGCAGGTAAATATGAGACCAGAGCTCAGGGAAAGACCTGGGCTAAGTACACAAATTTTGGAGTCTTTGGCATGGAATGTTACATAAAACACAAGACTAGATGAGGTCATCTAGGGAAAGAGGGCTGATATCCAAGCCCTGGGGCATTCCATCAGTTAGAGGTCAGGGACATAAGAAGAAACCAGGAAAGGATATGAAAAGGGAACACTTACTTAGAGCCAACTGGGGTGGAGGTAGGGGTGGGGGGTGGGGGTGGGGGCAGTAAAAGGAAATTGAGAAAAAGAAACATGTTGTAATCCAAATGAAAAATTATTTTCAGGGAAGACGAAATGAATGACTCTGATAATTGCTGCCAATAGATCACATAATTAATAACTAACAATTGATTACTCAATTAAGCACTGTAGAATTCATTGATGATCTTGACAAGAGTGGATTTAAAGGAGCATGGGAGAATTGGAGGAAGCAAATAAGCACAACTCTGGAGTTTTCCTATAATGAAAAGCAAATATGAAATAAAACAAGCAGAAGGGGGATATGCAATTAAAAGATGGATTTTTTTAATGAGAGGTGACATTACAGTCTGTTTGCTGATGATAATCATCCAGAGAAACCAAAAACTTAATCCAGGACAAAGAAGAGACTTTGGAAGAGTATTCCTAAATAAACAAAAACTGCTTGGATTTAGTACATAAGGGAAGGTTTTGCCCTTAGCCTGGAGCCAAATAATCCACTCATAATAACAGAACAATCTGGAGAAGAGTTGGAATGGTGGGTAACGGGTGTGGTAGCCAGCCTCCAAGATGGCCCCAAATAAATCTTACCTCCTGGTATTCACACTCTTGTGTAGTCCTCTCCCACACTATCACAGGGTTAGCCTATGTGACTAAGCAAATACAGATGGGATGGTATCAAACTTCTGAAAAAGACTGCACTTCATCTTGGGGGCAAACTCGCTCTTGAATCTCCTGAATCACTCTAAGGGAAGCCAGTTGCCATGACAGGCACAGCCCCATGGAGAGGCCCACAGAGTGAAGAACTGACAGTCAAGTGAGCAAGCTTGGACACTGGTCATCCAACAAAAAAGTCCTCAGAGACTGCCAACCCAGTCAAGAGCTTCAGTATGACCTCCTAAGACACCCTGAGCCAGAATCACTCGGCTAAGCCAGTCCTAGATCCTAGAGCATGACAAATGTTGAGACGAACATTCCTTAGGTCATTAAGTTTGAGACAACGTGTCCCACAGCAATAGATAACTATATAATGGGTCTCACTGAGCTATATACACAAGTTACTGGGCATACAACTTACTTATTGTTTGCCAACTGGCATGAAACGATTTCATGTGGCCTCGCCCACCCATATTCAATCACTTCACCAAGTAAAGCCCTTAAGGAAAGGGCTATACAAATGTGCAAACTAACCTCGTGTAATCACTCTTAATCAACACACATTTACCCTGAGTTAACCACTTTAACACATGAGCTGAAACCTCTGGTATGTGTATCAGCCCATCTTGGCCTCACACCATTGTACAAGAAGTCAGTTTCATGCAGCTTAAAACGTATGACCCTCTTACTTTCTTTTTCCTTTCGAGAGAACAGGTGAAAGAATGCTGCCCTCCTTGTTTTTAAGGGAGCAATAAACAGAGCTCCAGAATTGGCTTGCATTTACCAGACATACTCAGGTCAGACACACTCAGGAAACATTGTCTAAACAGTAGTCTTTTTTTTTTTAAGATTTTATTTATTCATGAGAGACACACAGAGAGCGAGAGAGGCAGAGACACAGGCAGAGGGAGAAGCAGGCTCCACGCAGGAAGCTCGATGTGGGACTCGATCCCAAGACTCCAGGATCACGCCCTGGGCCAAAGGCAGGTGCTAAACTGCTGAGCCACCCAGGCTGCCCAGTAGTCTTTTAACACAGGAGAAAATAAGAGAAAACTGAAGGAAAAAAAGATACAATCTTGGTCCTTATAAAGATCTCTCTGGGGCACCTGGGTGGCCCAGTGGTTGAGTGTCTGCCTTCAGCTCAGGTGGAGATCCTGGAGACCCGGGATCCAGTCCCACGTCAGGCTCCCTGCATGGAGCCTGCTTCTGCCTCTCTCGCAGGCTCTCTGTGTCTCTCATGAATAAATAAAATCTTCAAAAAAAAAAAAAAGATAAATAAATAAAGATCTCTCATCTTACCTCAGGTGTGCACTGAAACTTCTAAGAGTTTGAGCTACTCCAGGCAGGAGAAGGTCACATCCTTGAGGCAAGCAGAGAGGAGGATGTGGGTCACTTGCACGTTGCAGGCATGTTTTCTATTCTACTGCCCACCTGAGATCGCCTTCTGGATGTTGATCAAGCACATGGCGCGAGGAACCAGGGAAGAGAACCGGATCCCCTCCCAGGCACCTGTTCCTCCCCCACTCCCCTCCCCCACATCTTAGTAAAGAAAACACTACGCCTGCCAACGGCCCCCAATCCAAAGCCTTGGAAACCACCCTGGTGTCCTGGCCGTCGGGGGGGGGGGGGTGCGGGGGACCTCCTTAGGGCGGGAGGGTCTCAAACAGTGTCCCGGCAGAAATACAGCGAACAAGGAAGAGGTGCGGGGCGCTTCGGGAGGCAGGAGAGGGAGCAATAACGAATTTACAGATACTTGAACGTCCTTAAAGGGTCTGGGCCCGCCGGCGTCCGGAGCGCGTCCAGAACGGCCAGGATGAAACGACGAGGATCCCACCGGGGACCCCGCAGGCCAGGGGCGGGCAGAGCGGGAGGGGCCCGGGCAGGCCTCTCCTCCGGGAGGCGCAGGCTGGGCCCGGGCCTGGGGGAGGGGGCGGCCCGCCGCCGGTGGGGGAGGGGAGGCTGCCCGAAAGGCCCCCGCCGAGGCGGACGCAGGGGTGAGCGTGGAGGGGCCCTTCGGAGGCCGCGGCAACAGGCACAGGCCGCTCCCGCGCGGCCAGACCCGGAGCGCGGCGGCCGGCTGGGCTGCGGCCGCCCTCCCCCCCCTCCTCCCCCTCCCCGCCGGGATCCCCGGGGCCGCGCCACGCCCCCCCCTTACCAGCCCGGCTCCGCCGCGTCCCCGAAGCGGTCCCGGAGCTGCCGGCGGCGCACCGCCCCGACGCGCTCCCCAGGCGAAGCCTGAGGGGACGACGCCTCCTCAGGCCCCAGGCACCGCTGACGCCGCCGCCTCCGCACGCGCGCCCGCTGCGACCTGTGATTGGCTGCCAGGTGGGGGCCGAGGCCGGCGTGGCTCAGGGCGCCGCGATCTGATTGGTGGAGAGGCCGGGCGGCGCCTGCGCGCGCTCTGGCGCCCCTGGTGGCGATCGCTGGGGGCGGGGTCAGGCTGAGGGCGTGAGGGCAGGGGCAGCACCAAGTCCGGGGAAGAAGAGTCTTAGGAAGTCAAGGTCGCAGAGCTGACCGGGCTCCAAGGACAAGGGAGGGCCCCCAATCCATCCGTCCTGGGGTACTTCTGCCCACCTAGCGTTTAGCTCTCATAATCCTCAGGTGTCATCCGTTTGTCATAAAAGCGCTCCTCGTGTTTGGGGTAACTTGACCATGCAACTGGGTCTTGACGCCCATGCTCTTGACCTTGCATCTGGTCAAGCTATACCAAAATAGCCTGGCACCTATTTTTGTATGGCTTGCAGCGACCTAAGAAGGAACTTTATATCTGTTCCTGTCTGGAAAAACAAAACATAAGGGGAATATGATTTTGCAACACCTGAAAAATAGATAAAATTCAAATTTCAGTGTCCGTAAAGTTTTGTTTTTTTTTTTAATTTTTTTTTCAATTTATTTATTTATGATAGTCACAGAGAGAGAGAGAGAGAGGCAGAGACACAGGCAGAGGGAGAAGCAGGCTCCACGCACCAGGAGCCCGATATGGGATTCGATCCCGGGTCTCCAGGATCGCGCCCCGGGCCAAAGGCAGGCGCCAAACCGCTGCGCCACTCAGGGATCCCAGTGTCCGTAAAGTTTTATTGGAACACAGATATACCCATTCCTTTAGATATTTACCTATGGTTGCTTTCCTGTTAAAACAGCAGTTGATTCGTTGTCAGAAATCATATTCAAAAGCCTAAAATATTTACTATCTGGCCTTTTACAGATTTTTTTATAAATTGCCATTTCTGCTAGAAGTCTGTCTAGTTTAGTAATGTGTTGAAATTAAAAAAAAAAAAAAAAAAGGCTTGGGATCCCTAGGATGCTTAGCAGTTAAGCGCCTGGCTTTGGCCCAGAGCATGATCCTGGAGACCCGGGATCAAGTCCCACATCGGGCTCCCTGCATGGAGCCTGCTTCTCCCTCTGCCTGTGTCTCTGCCTCACTCTCTGTGCCTCTCATGAAAAAATAAATTAAATTAAAAAAAAAAGATTTTGGGTTTTTTAATATATCACTATTTTTGTCACTAGATCTACTTTCTTGTTATCTCTGTAGGTTCTATTGTTCCTCTTTACAATATTTTTAAGTCTTTTTAAATTGTAATGTAGTTGGGATACAAGGTTATATTAGTTCAGTTGTACATTGTAGCAATATGACATTCTATACATAGCTATCACCATAAGTCTACTTACCATCTGTCACCATACAAAGATATCCTCTTTACAATTTTTTGAGACAAATGCCTAGGTATTTTGTTTGTAAGCTCTGTTATTTCATTTGTATGTAATGCTATAAAGTTACCTTCATTTACTTAAGTACCAGTTTAACTATATCCTACAATTTTTGCTTCATTAATATGTTCATTGTCATTTAATTCCAAGTATGTCTTTTTTTATCCTTTTAAAAAATGTTTTTATTTGTTTATTTGAGAGAGAGAGAGAGAATGGATGAGTTGGGGAGGGTCAGAGGGAGAGGGGGACTGTCTCCCTTTGAGGACTCCCTGCTGCAGGGTGCCTGATGCAGGGATTGATTCCAGGACCCTGAGATCACAACCTGAGCAGAAGGCAGACGCCTAACTGAGCCACCGAGATGCCCCTCCAAGGATGTCTTAAATTCCCTAGTGATTCTCTTTTTAATACAAGAGTTATATGGTATTTATTTCCAAATCTATAGGATCTTAAAAAGCTGTTCCTTTATGAATTTCTTGTCTTGTTGCCTTATGGTCAGATCACACAGTCTAAATAGTATTGATCCTTTGCATTTGAGGATTTCTGTTCAGTCAAGTATACCATAGTCAAAATTAAGAGGATGTTGATACAGAGAAAGTATTTTCAATGTCTAAAATGTGTAGTTGGCCTCAAAATTACTCCATCATCCTTCATTAAGTTACTATTAACTATGCTCCAAACTTTATTCAAATTTCACTAGTTTTTCTACTAATGTCCTTTTTCTATTCCAGATTCCCATGCAGGATACTGCATGGACCTTAGTCATAGTGTCTCCTTAGTCTACTCATCATGACCTTGACAATTTTAAGGAGTCCTTAAGGGTCAGATATTTTGCAGAATATTTCTCAATATGGGTTGGATGTTTTCCTCATGGTTACACTGGGGATGTAGGGTTTTAAATTATACCACGAGGTGATTTGTCCTCATCACTTCCAGGGGGGATACATGTTATCACTATGATTTACCACTAACCTCTCCACTGTAAAGTTACTTTTCTCTCCTTTCCACAGTCTACTCTTTGGAAGCAAGTCACTAAATCCAGCCTACCCTCTGGAAAACACATCTAGTCTCATTGAGAGGAGAATGCTTATGAAATACACAAATTATTGAGAGAACTGAAATTATCTGGACTTCATTTGTAAGGAAGATTTGTTTATCTTACCTTTAAATTTAATTTTAAATTAATCAAAATTAAATAAAATTAAAAATTCAGCACCTAAGTCATACTAGCTACATTTCAACGCCTCAGTAGTCACATGTAGCATATTGGACACAACAGATATAGAACATTTCAATCACTGCAGAAACTTCTATCAACAGCACTGATTTAGAACATTATTTTTCCAACCTTTCTTCTTTTCCCTCCTCTTCTTCGTTGAGGTACAATTGACATACAACATTATATTAGTTTCAGGAGTACAACATAGTGATCCAATATTTGTTTATATTGTGAAATGATCACAATAAGCCTAGTGAAAATCCATCCATCACCAAACATAGATACAAATTCCTTTTCTTGTGATGAGAACTTTTAAGATTTACTCTCTGAGCAACATTCTTCTAATAAATTTATTTTGTATTGGTGTTCAATTTGCCAACATATAGAATAACACCCAGTGCTCATCCCATCAAGTGCCCCCTTCAGTGCCCATCACCCAGTCACCCACACCCCCCACCCACCTCCCCTTCCACCACCCCCAGTTCGTTTCCCAGAGTTCGGAGTCTCTCATGTTCTGTCTCCCTCTGAGCAACATTTCGAACAATATGGTATTATTAACTATAGTCACCACGCTGTACATTACCTCCTTATGACTTATTTTATAACTAGAAGTTTGAACCTCTGGATCCCCTTCACCCATTGCCCACCCTACCCCTTCTTCTTTTCAAATATATGCAGTTTAAATATTAATTTCTTCTAACAACTGCTTTACCTCCATCTTATAAATTTTGTTGTTTCAATATAATTCAGTTGCAATTATTTTCCTTTTCCACATCATCTTCTTACAGGAACTCTGAGTTGTTTATTTTTTTTTAATTTTTTTTTTACTCTGAGTTATTTAGAAGCAGAACCAGAACTAGGGTGAGCATAGAGCACACATTCAAGAGGTTTGTAGAAGTGCAGGAATGGCACTTTGTACTTTAGGCTCCTGGCTTCCTCTGCTCTGGTCCTAGCCCTGTTTAAATATATTGCTTAATTTCTGAGCTTTGGGGTTTTTTTCTCAATTATCTTTCTGGTTTTGATTTCTAGCTCAATTCCCCCAAAGTCAGTGGGCAGTTACAAAAAACCCTAGAGCTAACACCATAATTAATGATGAGCTATTGCATGAGTCTGAGAACAAGACAAGGATGTCCATTATAACCACTTCAATTCAACAAAGCACTTGAACAGCCAAGACAGCTTTGAACAACAACACTGGAGAACTTAAACTCCCAGATATCTGTATTAGTCATCATTCTCCAGAAAGACAGAAGCAGTAGGATAAAGAGAGAAAGAAAAGGGGTTTATGCAATTATGGAGACCCAGAAGTCTGATCATTATGCTGTCTGCAAGCGAGAGAATCAGGAATGCTAGTGGTATAATTCAATCTGAGTCTGAAGGCCTTAGAACCAGGAGTTATGATGTCCAAAGGCAGGAGAGATGGGACGTCTTATATCCCCTTTTTCCCCAAAAGAGGGGAAAATTTCTCTCCCTTCACTTTTGTTCTCTTAGGGCTCTTAATGGGTTGAATTAGATAATGCTCACCCACGTTGCTGAGGGTTTATCTTGCTTACTCAGTCTGTTGATTTAAATACTAATCTCTTCCAAAAACACCCTCACAGACACCCCCAGAAATAATGTTTTACTAGCTACCTGGGCATCCCTTATCTCAGTAAAGTTGACACATAAAATTAATCATCACATAAGCTTAGGCAGAAGTACAATGTTTAAGACAGTGTGGTGTTACCGTAAGGATAGAGAATTGAAAAAATGGAACGGAATGGAGTCCAGAAATACATTACAGTCTCCTGCTAGACGTACACAAAGGTTCCTCTGAAATACAGTGGGAAAAGAGTGGTCTTTTTAGTAAATGGTGCTGGTTGATTTGAATATGCATATGAAAAAACAAACCTGGATACTCGGACTTGTCACACAATAAACAACAAAAAATAAATAGATTTGAGATGGATCTTGGACCTAAATGCAAAAAAACTAAACAATAAAGCTTCTAGAAGAAAACAAAGGAGGAATATATTTATGTCCTTGGTAGATAATAATTTCCTAAATATGATGCACTGTGAAGTACCAACCCTAATTCATATATATACACCTAGGAAACCACCATCCAGATAAAGCCATGGGATATTTCCAGAACCCTGGAAGTTCCCTCATACCTTCCTAATTGGCAGTCTAGTTTAAATATATATTTGGGACACTGGGGTGGCACAGCTGGTTGGGCATCTGACTCTTGGTTTTGGTTCAGGTCATGATCTCAGGGTCCTGGGATTGAGCCCTGAGTCAGGCTCCATGCTCATTGCTGTCTGCTTGAGATTCTCTCTCCTTCTCTCTTCTGCTCTCTCT